TCATGCATGATCATGCATGACGTAGGAGGCAATGTCCAGGGAGGCAGATAATCCAATTTCTCCAGCAGCCCAAGCCAAACTGGCCCAGAAAATGGAGGGGATACCATTTGCACTTTGGCAACATCAGTAGTTGCCAGGCAGATTCCATCTTAACCTTATCTTCATTAATGTCAATGAGACATTGTAGATCATATGCCTGGCAAAACTTGTGCTGGGAGAAGTCTATGGAGATTCTGAGTCATCCGGATCATGGTTGCCCCAAAGTTGCTTTTTCCAGGAGGCAACTGGACTTTGTTTTTTTCTTTTAAAGACTGCATAGACTCCATAGACTTTTAGCATTCCCAACAGCCTGAAGGGATACAGGGCAGAAAATACCCTGCAGTCAAGAAGGCTCCACACCCATTTGCAGGACCCTGAGGACACAGATAAGCCTCCAAGTGGCCTCAATGACTCTCTGAAAGAATGCAAATGACCAGCTGTCTGCAAGGAATAGAAATCCTTCCATTCCCCACCATCCAGTCAGAGTTGAAGAAGCTTCTTGGATGAGAAGCAAAATGTCTTCAAAGAAAAAACAAGGAAGTCCCATTGCCTCCTGAAAAAGCACCTACGGTATGTGACTGGAGAAGAGGGACGTTAGTGCTTTCAATCTGGACAGCTGAAGACAAATATAAGTTGGCTGTGCTTCAGGCTGGAGAGGAGATAAAATGGTCAGGAGACCATCTCCACACCACAGTGAATGGGACATGAAGATGAGCCTTCATTGTATCATGAGAACACAGCAGGAGGCACACAAATAAGCTAGCAGCCAGTTAACAATAGACAAGTGCCTGAGATCCATTGAAGTAGTCTGTGAATTTAGAGTATTCTATTTGTGCGTAGTATTTACAAAAGCCCTTTTAAAGGGAAATGGATATTATTGTGGCCTTCACTGGCTCCTAGTGGTGAACAGAGGCCATTACAGTTGCAAAAAAGCTAACTGCCAACCATAAACCACTTGCCTAAATACATGAAATATAAATCCCGCTTTAGGACATTTTTAGAAATTGGGAAAAAAAGAATAAAAATCTAATAAATACACTGTTTATATCATCTCAAAAAATATATGGGAAGATCTTCAGAGAAGCAAAACCCCAGAGGAGCGAGGACTGAAATAGATCAGCCTAATTCATTATTAACAATGTTAATACTTCCACCTTAAGCAGTTCCTTCTGTTTAGCTCAGGAGAACAGCAGGCGCTGCATTTTTAGAATGGCCAGGAATACTTCTCATGCAAATCATCTCCATGCATGTTACAAATAAACATTCCAGAATGCTGGACAAACGAACTGCATTTCATAGGAAAGACAAAGTACTGGGCCTCCATCATTACTTTTCCTTCAAGCATCAGAATTTGTTTTGCCCCCTGCTCAACTAGGAGACCCTTAAACAATTGGCTGTCCATTCTCTTAAAAACCTACAGGGATGAAGCACCCACAACTTCTGAAGGCAAGCTGTTCCACTGGTAATTAATTGTCCTCACCGTTAGGAAGTTTCTCAATTCCAGGTCTCCTTTTTTGACACAAGCTTAGTATTGTGGCCCGCCAGTGGCCAGCACAGCTGGCAGCAGAGTCGGACAGTGAGGAGGTTGGGGAAGAACATGGGCCAGTCCTGGAATCTGGGGAAGGCTCGGATGAGGGCTCTGAATCGGAGGCAGAGAGGGAGCTAGACAGCAGTGAGGCAGAAGAACAGCTGGAGCCTGTTTCCCAGTGTGCGCATGGGCAGAGCTGCCAGAAGACAAGAGCAACGAAGAAAGGAGGGTTGACTTGGGAGTAAAGCCACACCTTGGAGGTGATTGGCCCCTCCCAGAGGAAACAAAAGAGGAACAAATGGGGAGTGGGCTTTTGCAGGAAACAATTCGTTCCTTCAGTCGTTTCAAGAGTGGAAAGTTTTGTTTGTGACTTTAAGAGACTCTGTGCCAAGTTTGCCTTGCCCTCCATTTGGAAACTAGCTATCTGGCAGGTCTCCAAACAAGATAAGGTTCGTGTTGATAAATATTCCTCGGAAAGACTGCTTGCTAAGCCTTGCTGACTGTGAATGAAAGGAATTCGCAGTCGTGCAAATAAAAGGGGTTTTGCCGGGACTAAGACTCTGCTTCTTGCTCTTTAAGGAAGCCTGGGTCAGAACGCCTGAATGACAAGAAGGACAGAAAGCTTATACTGTTAGCAAATATTTATTTTATTTATCTTTTTCATGTATTTATTGCACTTCAATGTTAGACAAAAAATAAATTCTCTCTTTTCTCTGCCTTGCCAGCATCTTTAACGAGTCTTTTGGACTCCCAGCAGTAGCAGTAGCAGCAGCAGCAGCAGCAGCAAATAAACCCCTCTCCATTTTTCCCATTGCAGCAAATATACTTCAATTTAGGGAGGGGACTCTTTGTTCCTACATACATCTCTAAGAAAAAGTGCAACATTTGGTTTCATTTCAAAGCAGTGTTGAACAGCAGCAGCAAGTGTCCCTCCCACCCTGCAAAGAACACCAAATATTCCCCACATCATGCAACAGGAGGGTGATTCAAACATGCTATGAGAACTCCTGTAAATGGGATGGAAAACCTGTCATATATCAATGTAGAGAACCAGGCAGGGCTGACCACTATCAGACAGGGACACTGGGAGATCCTACTGGAGAGAAGGGGGAGTCCAGGATCCCCCCCCTTTTTTTTTTTTTGGTCATCTCCAAGTCTTTTAAAAATATCCCAACGTGGGTCGGCTTCTTCTTTTAAATTTGTAATTCGATATGGGGAAAAAGGGTTCCTAGGTTGTCAAGGGCTAGAGCTCTCAAAGTCTATTAAATCCGTGCATCTGCAGTTCCATCTTGTTCTGAGCACAGAATTTGGGGTTACAGAAGTTAGCATCCTGAGCATCTCCACTTTCATTCCGTTTCTATTTGTCGTGGGGAAAATATATTTTCAATTCTTTCAAAGTTGGGCTTCGGCAAAACCCGAAGCCCCAAATACACAACAGAGCCATTTCTCCCATGCTGTGTCACAATCGGGCATAAATAATAATAAAAACCAACCAATCCAGAGAGTGCAATTGAATCTACGCACCCGTGTGACCCTTTGGTGCTCTAAACCACGTACATTTTGCATGAGACACTGATGTGCCATTGTGATGTACAGTCTCAGAAATCCAGAAAAACCATAGAATTTTTAGAGATCAGAGGATGAAACTTCAGTATTCAACATAGCTTCCAGTGCCACCTTCACCTTCAAGACTAGTGGAAGCAGAATAAATTATGCAAAATAAACAAACACGGCATCTGTTTAAGTTGGATAATTACTCAGGTCATAATTTACACATTGCTTGGCACAGAATCTGGTTGCTTAAAAGAAAAGTAATATAAAGTGCAAAGAACACACCACTCCCCAAGGAAGGCAGTCTACTGATGAATGGGTGAGTTAGTCAACAAACTCTTGGGTTTAATATGGGAAATCTATCCTAAAAGACGGAGCTGAATAGAGTAAGAAAGGCAGCTTGGAGAGGGCTTGGGATTCTTGGCCCCATCCTGAAAAAAGAATGGGATTTGGAATTAAAATGAGAGGCCAAGGGTTTCTAGGATAAAATCTCTCAAACTTCACCCTTTAAGGGGGTAGAAAAGCACCAAAGTCCAGAAGTAATCAGAAAAGCTGAGCAGAAAAATATTCGGAGTGTTTGCTCTGCTTAGCCCTTTCTTCCTTATGGCTGAATCTTATAGAGATGGAAGGAAGACTGGCTAATACAAATCTCTTTCTCTCTTCCAATAGAAGTAGTCCTCAACTTACAACCAGAATTGAGCCCCAAATTTTTGCTGTTAAGTGAGACATTTGTTAAGTGAGCCTTGGCCCATTTTACGACCTTTTCTTGCTATGGTTGTTAAATTAGTCACATGTTTGTTAAGGGAATCTGGCTTCCGCGTTGACTTTGCTTGTCAAAAGGTCGCAAAAGGTGATCACAGGACTGCAACCATCATAAATGTAAATCAGTTGCCAAGCATCTGTCACTAAATGAACTGTTGTTAAGTCAAGGGTTACCTGTGGCTCTTTTGAATCATCCAACTACAATCAAGTTCCTATCCCTTGCTGGAAAACTAGACTTCCGATCGACTGACAGCATCTCCATAGCTTTCCTCCTCTTACGACTTCTCTCTAATTTGCTGTAGAGAAACGGAGAGCAAATCTGCCACAAACTGGTGGAAGACCTTTTGCATTTTTGCTGGAGATCTTTATGAAATATGGGTTACCTGACAAGATGAAAGAGAATTGGGGCTTTGCTTAATCGGTTGCCGAGATGAGATGGGGTGGAAAACCTAAGTAGTTTTAGTTCCTATTTGATGAGACCATCTACTTAGTTAAAACCTCTTTCTGAGAACAGCAGCAAGGGAACAGAGGCTAACAAAGGAACAGGGGGGGAAAAGTTTTGAAATTGGGGCTACACTAGCATGCAGATTAAGGAAGCTAGGTTTGGGAGTAACTGCCTTACCAGGTGGTCCTACATTTGCCCCACCCTTAAGAGCTACCAAGAATTACTGTTATGTACAATGTAGCTGGTGCTTTTTTATATACAGGGCAGAGCCTCAAAACAACACTGTATGGAAATATATGTGTGAATATATGCATGCGTGTGTATACACACCCACACCCGTTTAGAAACAACAGATGCGTCCAGTTTGTTTGCCTGATCTCTCTTGGCACGTAAATGATCTTCAGTCTGCATTGTGCTGTGGAGAGCGCTATCTGGGAAATGCATCCTTCCTCCTTTCTCCCATCTCTCTCCTCACTGGATCTACTCCAACGAGCTGCCAGGGGCCGTGGGCTTCCTGCCTTTGTCGTGTCCTTTCTACACCTCTTATTTCATCATTACAGTCATTTCCCAAAGAGCAACATTTAGTCCGCTGCAGTAAATTTACTTGATGGTGGATTTTTTCTTTCTTTCTTTCCTAAAAAAGTCTGAGGGACGTATGAGATCGATGTGCTGGAATTAAGGGTTGATCCAGAAGGCAAGAGGTTTCTCTGAATGCTGCTTGTTGAGAGTTCTCAAGTCGGGGAGACGGAGAAGCAGCTTGGGGAAAAGCGTGGAGTCATCCGGATGCTTCTTGGTTACCAGAGTTCTCAAGGCCCGGATTAAAGTCTCCTGAAGAATTTCAACAGCATCCACGTCGGAGATCCCGGAGCGATCTGGGAAAACCAAAACAAACGTGTTAAAAATTAAGACAGAGAAAGAAGACATGGAAAAGAGGGGGGTGGGTTTAGCTGCCTTGGAAAAATGACGGCATACAGGTATAGTCCTCGACTTACAACAATTGAACCCAGACGTTCTGTTGCTAAGCGTGACAGTTGTTGCCCCGGTTTTTAAGGGAATCACTTAAGTGTTAATTTAGTATCATCATAGTTAAATGAATCTGGCTTCCCCATTGACTTTGTTTGTCAAAAAGTGATCACATAACCCCAGGACATTGCAACCGTCATAAACATGAGCCAGTTGCCAAGTGTCCGAATTTTTTTTTAGGTTTTTTTTTCCCCAACATATGAACATTTCATCTTTCCTTAAACAGTGTATCATCTGGGTATAAATATCTGTGCAACAGCTTTCAGCATTTACAACATCATTCACATTAATATTAATTATCTAATCTTAAAATTGTAGTATATTAAACAATTGAACATTATTAACCTATTCATTTTCCTCTTAACATATCTTCTAATAAAAATACAATAACATTAAGCATAATTAGCTTCCCCATCATAATACAAACATTTATCATCTTATTTATACCTCTATCTTAACATATTTTCTATTCTTCTTTAATCTTCTTTATCTCCAATTTTCCTTTTTATTCTCTAACCAGTGATAAAATGCTTCCCATATCATGTAATATTGTTCTTTCTCGTTTATTATTAGTGTTAATCTATTCATTTACCATATTTTTGGAGTATAAGACGCACCTTTTTTCCTCTAAAAAGAGGCTGAAAATCTGGGGGCATCTTATACATCGAATACGGAATTTTCTGCCTCCAGAAGCCCCACCCCCTTCACCAAAATGGCCGTGCATAGCCTTATGGAGGCTTTCAGAGAGCTCCTGGGGGCTGGATAAGCAAAAAATGGGCCGTTTCCCCCCCCCCCCCCCAGCTCCCAGCAACACTCTATAAGCCTCCATAAGGCTATGCACGGCCATTTTGGTGAAGGGGGTGGGGCTTCTGGAGGCAGAAAATTCCGTATTCGATGTATAAGATGCCCCCAGATTTTCAGCCTCTTTTT